TTGACTGATGAGCATGGAAGTAAGTGGAGGCAAGGTGTTTGTCATTTATGCATACTTGTAAGTTTCCTTGTGTTCGGATGGCTCAACCACCCATTAAATGCTGTACATTTCAGATATATACTTTCAAGTGAAGAGTGGTGAAGATATTTTCCAATCCCTAACTTCAGAAAATAACTTCGTGGTACGGGCAATTTTTGTTTTTTTTGTTTTTTGGTAAGTTCTAGAGAATGCCTAAGCTCTAATTTTTTGCTTAAACGTGCATGTAAGCATACTTAAAGCAATCTCAGTCTCATCTGTTTGTAACTTGTTTATTTTTTTTTGGATGTCCAGGTCTCTTTATCTTTTTCTCTTACTGAGTGGAAAATTTAGCTTTATATATTGTTACTGTGCTTATTTAAATAATTGTTGATTGCCTGGTGGGATATCAAAGGAGGAAACTTCGTGTTTGGCCTCCAGTAGGGAGAGGAAGGACACCTAGACGCTTGTGAGGTTCAATTCTTACCCAGCCATTTTAAAAGAACAACAGCAAACACAGAAAAAGGTTGCTTCTTGTGAAGTCATTGTAAATTCTGGCACTCCTACGAAAAAAAAAAGGTCATAGCTACGGGATATCATGACCTCGTTATTATATGAAAATCATCTTGTGAACCAGAAATTTATATGGTCAACATCTTGGATGCTATAGCGTATCATTGTCAGCAAAATGCAAAAATGCAATCATTTGGGCTTCAACTTTAACAATAATTTTATATTTATATTCTCATTATATGGCTTGCTGTTTGTCCTTATACAGCATGCAACAGAAATGATCATGCCCAATGTTAGATTATCCCATGGTTATATTCAAATGCTTGGGAGATTATATAAATCATTCACTTCTCCTTTCTTTCTTCCATTCAACCTCACGACTCAATGTTTATTTTGTATCTTTAACCTTTACCACCATATAGTTTTGTAATCATGCTTACTGTTCTGGGAGTTGCAGCAAGTTATTGTTGGTGTTGATACCATGGAAATGATCAGTGAGATGGACTTATCAGCTGCTTCAGAAATTGACTTTGGGATCGAAGAATTTGATAATCAAGATAGTAGTGATGTAGAGGACGATGATGAAGAGGATGAAGATGAAGATGGGAATGATGATTATGATTCGGTTGGATTTATTTTCAAATGTGCTTCTGATCAATAGAATCATTTCTTAATGTAAGTATAACAACAAACAGTTGTTTGCAGGAGTGGGTTGCAGTTTTTTCAGATGAGGATGGGCAAGATGATGCTGATGAAACACTGGAAGGCTGGGCGAAATTGGAGACTATGCATTCTTATTCTGATCCAATGTATTTTGCCAAAAAGTTGGCAGAGGTAAATTTTAAAGATAGAGTTTACTATATTAAGGAGCCTGGCAGTACCTTTGAGATGACAGGACAGTAACTTTTGTGGTCTTTAGAAACTTGTCTGTTGCAATTATACATGGACTTAAGGTAGTCAATTAAATATATCTGTATATTTTTTTTTTCATCATTTAGATTGCTTCAGGCGATCCAATTGATTGGATGGAACAGCCACCGGCTTGCCTAGCTATCCAAGGTCTGTTAAGACCTGCCTTTATTGAAGAACAATCTGTCATACAGAAGCATTTGTCTACCAATCTGTCCAGCAATACTGACATGAATGAACCCAAAGGAAACAGTGGAAAAAATCTTGGTGTGATTAATGGTCAAGTGGATAATCCACCGTCATCCAGAGATAATGCATCACAGTTGGAGAATAATGATATTCCTGCCAATGCGACTTCATTTTTCAAACTGGAAATGGTCAAGATTCAGCTTTTTTCAGCCCATGGACATCCGGTATGTTTGTGGACTTGTATTGTTTGCATTTGAACATGAGTGGGCTTTTTCCTTGTTTTCTTTTTCTTTTTTTTTTCCGCCCCTTTTTTTCTTGTTTACTTCCTAATATTCCCAGTTGTTAGAGCAGAATATCACCTGAGATGATACTTCTATTATTTGCTCTCCAGTCACCATAGAGAAGCCTAACTATAAATTCTATCCTTATAGGAGAAGCTATAAAGCAGCTTCAGTGGGGTTATAATATATTCTCACGTTCTCTAGTGTAAAATTTTTTTACACGTCTTCAGATATATTGTTTAGTTACTATGTAATGCAGATGAATTTAATCATGTGTTATTTTAACAAGTCAACGATGTAGATCCTATTTGCCTTCCTAGGGTATAAAATGAGACATTACGTATTCAGTTTGGGTTAAAATTAGTAATCGGATGACTGTTACCTGCGGTGTGTCTACAGTTTTGCTTGAAAAATAAAGTTGCGTATTCCAATTCTCTGTAGGCGGACCTCGAAGTAGAACACTACATGGAAGCTCAGCCTGATGCGATTGCTCACTCAGCTTCTAAGATCATATCTCGTCTGAAAGCTGATGGAGAAAAGACCACACAAGCCTTGAAGTCTCTCTGTTGGAGATGTAAGGGCATACAAGTGGAGGTAATACCTAACTCTTCGAATAACTTCGTCTAATGTCCCTCATGCCATACGTGATTTCCATAGATGCTTTTCACTGATATTTTAAGCTATCTATTCAACTAGAAAGAAATACGCAATCTCTTGTATATTTTGAACTGCTAAAATTGGTAGTATCAGGCTATCCACAATTTTAGCAACACGTTTTCAGCTATTGCTTTCTAAATGAGAACTCCTAAGTTACAACTGGGCAATAATTTGCCGAAAGATCATAAGAATGGCTAAACCATTCGTGCAATTTATCAGCTCCCTTGTCATCCATTCTTATTTAAAACTTTTTGCTTATCATACGCACATATATCACGTGTTTTTGCTGTCAATGATATCTCCTGGTTGCAATGCAGGAAGCACAACTTATCTGTGTGGACTCCCTCGGATTTGACCTACGGGTTTGCTCAGGAACTCAAGTTGAAACACTGAGATTCGCATTTAAGAAAAGGGTAAATCAGATTTTTTTATTATGCTACGCATTCTCCATCTTATATAGTTATTCCATGCATTATCCCTCTAAACCAATAAAGTCAAGTCGGGGGATGTCTTAAAGTCACTTAAAAGTAATCTTTCGAGCCCACTGAACAAAAGATAGTTCTGATGCCAAGAGGTTAGAGGTGCAACTGGGGAATTCTTGGGAGCTCGCACATATTCACGCGTTCACATTCTCCTGGGTCAATTTTACAGATACTAAATACTATCTTTGCAGGCCACATCCGAGTACAGTGCTGAGAGACAACTCAATGATTTGCTCTTCGCCAGAAGTCAGCAAAAGCAGCAAAAAATGAAGCAAACACATCAAAACGAAAGTTAAAACCTTTTATGTTCCAGGTGAACTCTTGTGGATTGTTGGACGCATTTGGCCAAGTGATTGTGTATAGCAGGTAAAAAGTAAGGGAAAAGAAGCGATGCGGATGCTATCACAATTTGTAATTTTTATTGCATTTAATGTTAATCGCAAAGTAATGCCTTTCGATCAGTGCATATGTCTCCATTGTGGACTTGTTTGTATATTCTTTACATTCTTTTATATTCACATGATTCTGGCATTCTATTTTACCGAGAACATGTTCATTTTACACAAAGCATTACAACATTGTTTCTTACGAGAGTGGCTTGGGGATGATGAATGAAAAAGAGAGTAGTCATTTGAAAAGGGAAAATATTTCAATGTCATTTAACTTTCTTGCTTTTAGGAAAATTAATAATTTGATCCTTATGTTTTTAACTCATTTGTGATTTAGTTTTGGAACCAGTTTCGGTACTCATTACTTTGATGAGTACTTTAGGCAGCCGTTTATATCTGATTTGAACGGTCTAGATTTAAAATATCTAATTATTTACTTTTAAATAGAAAAATTATTTTTTGAAAAAATGATAGCTAAGAGATCATCACTATTTTAGATTCTATACATATTAAAATAATTATTTTAAATAAACAAAAATAAAAAGAGAAATCAAATCTGAACCATTTAAATGAGATATGAATGATTCAGATCTGATAAATTTATAATGCTTATTAAAAGGATAAGCACCGAAACTGGTTTTAAGTTTTTAGACTTTAACTTGATAAAATTTTGTCTCTATAGTTTTAGCTTTGTTATAACTTAGTATCTGAATATTAGTTTAATACAAGTCAATTCTTATAATTTAACTAATTATAAACTAAAAGCACGGAAATTAATGAAAGAAGGAAATTTTCTCAATCAAAATCCACCAAATTAGAAAAACAGTATATTTAGGAAAATTGGATGATTTTGGATTAATAGTTAAAAAGCTTGCATTCTTCTCTTCTAAACTTTCAAATAACGAAAGATCTGAGAGCAATCTCTCCTCACAACAAAATCTGACCCTCGTCATATCTTAAGTCCAGCTTCGTTGCGGATCGTTGTCAACAGAATCTCAAGTAATAATCAAGATATCGTTAAAGAGAGAGTAAACTTGAAATTTAAAGGGAATACTGAAATTTAGAAGCTACGAGTATTTCATAAATTTATATTTATAGACAAAAGACTGATCACACTTTATATGGCCTTTAAATATAAATTAAGTCATTTCTATTTTCGGCCACCTGAAAAATACAAGAGAGCCAGAAGTTTGAAGGCCTAGATTCCTTCATTATTGAGCTATAATTAATAATTAAAAGCAATGATTAATTAAAATTTGAATGAAACCTTTTTTACTTTTTTGTCCCTTGTTCCCTAAACATGCATCCACAAAACGGAGCGAAAGAGATCGTTACAGGGTAGTTTTCCTTTCTAAGGGAAAATTAGTGCCAGGTGCACAAGAATAAACAGACTGGAAGTAAGAAATAGAAAGGAAAATGGAGAGAAAACACATAATATGGTGGAAATTAAAGCCTCTTATTATCTATTTTTGAATGATTAATACATATAGTAAAAGGAATTACAAGCCAGTATGCTTAATCATAAATTTTTAAATGTCCTCTTTCAGTTGTAATGTGAAGCGCCTTTAGACATTTTTAGAGCAGTTATTGTAACAATTGTTCACCAAGCCGTCTATACTCTTAATATCTGCGAAAACACACAATTTGATCTCATCAGAACCTGAACAAGAAGAATATATCAAAAAAGAAAATGAATCAAACAATATAATGAAGAGTTTTAATTAAGTAATGCACTTGCCTTGTTGATGGTGCAGGTTGTTCATAACACAGTCTCGAGTACACTGATAACCGGCATGATTGGCCGGCGGAAATATCTGGCACATGGCCAAGCACTTGCCAATGCAGAACAATCGACGAAATCCTTTTTTCTCTGCACATTTCAGCATACATTGGTCCTCGCAGGACAATGGAGGTGGCGCAATGGGATCATCCTCTGGAGGAGGAATCTGAGGAATAGGTGGTGGTTGTGGAAGAAGAGGAGCTGGTGGCGGGGGTGGCAGTGTCGTGGGAGATGGTGGAGAAACTTCTGGCACCGGCACTGGTTCATCTATGGAAGGAGATGGTGCGGGAGTATCAACGGCGGGTGGGGGCGGCAGTGTAGTAGGAGACGGCGGGGAAACTTCTGGCACCGGGATTGGTGATGGAGAATCGTGAGGGGAAGGAGATAGAGATGGAGAATAACAAAGAGATGAATGAGGAAGAGCAGAATCAGCATCATGAACGGCAAAAGCTAGAAGCATATGAAGAAGAAGAAGAATCTTCATGATAGTTGCAGATTCCATGGCTGTTAATAACACAGTTGGAGAGCTTTTTTGAGATGATGAGGAAGGTCTCAATGCACAGAATTTATAGGCGAGAGATGAAGCAGTTTGCATGCAGAATCATGTATTATATATGGAAACTGCATCAGTTAGGAAAATATCAGTCAATTATACTGATTATTGCTCGTCATTTTCATGATTATCGAGAACCTTAATTCTGGTGCTATTTGTCTGCATGTTTGATATGGGAATTAATTTTTGAGGAATGAAAGATGTTGGATTTAAAGGACACTAGTTCTTTATTATTATTATTTTTTAAATAACAAAAGTACACTAGTTTTATTATGTTGGATTTAAATATATATTTGGTACAAACTTGTAATAATATATTGTGATCAAGTGAATGAATAAGAAATTAAATTCATTAAATAAATTTAAAACCAAATATGTTCAGGTAACATGTGACTTTTAGGTAATTCCAAGCGCCATTAGTGAACTTTTTTTGGGCCCGACGCTAGCGGACATTTTCATCTAATATAGAAATGACATTAATATTGATTGATATCAAATGATTTTAATTAAATGTTGACTGAAATAATCATGGCATAATTTAATTTCATCAATCTACATTCATTACGATGTTTTATCATAATGTGAAATATAAATTTGTAATTGAGAAATTTTAACAGATATAGTTGTAATAAATATTCTATAGTTAACAATATTTTATTTTCCATATAACTAATTAATATGTCTAGTTTGGTTGCCCTGCTCGAGTATTATAATATCTATTTTTTTCCATTAGCAAAATCTTGGATGTGGAGTTATTTATTTGATAATTTATTAAAATTAAAAAAATGTTAATCATCAAATAATGTTGATATCGTAAATAAAATATCTAACAAACTGGAATATTTATAATTCGTGAACAAATTTATTTCTTGAGTTTCATAACCCAAATATAATTGAAGTAGAAAAAATACAATCGTTTAAATCAATATAAAATACAAAATATAAAAAACGATGACAAGCTGAATTATATTTTAGAGGCACCCATATATAACATAAAACTGTTAAGATACTACAAGTTATAATATTGGATATGCTTTGCTTCCTAGAATTGAGTAATAGGATTGTACTATTGTACAAAAAAATTTAATTGCGTAGTCTTTTATATTTGATATATTTTTGCCTAAAGAAAGCAAAATAAGTAGATGTTAAATATATAAAATCAAGGACCTAAGCTTTCCCGTAGGTAGCCAACTAAAAATATTATATAGTATAATATGAAAATTGTGTGCGATTGTTTTATTTTTAAAAAAAGGAAGCTAGCATGAATGAAGCCCTATGAGTTCTTGAATTTGTTGATATGAGATGCCTATTCATAATATTCATTATTCAAAAGTTAATATAATTTTTGCGGTTTATATTTTTATAACCAAAATCTTGACTTTTCTCTCCTAAAATTTTTAGTTTTCTTCTTAAGCATTTTAAACTTTAAATACGTTTTTCTAAATCTATATAAATATTTTCAAAATCTATTGTTAAAAAATTATTATCCTGAATATAGTGTTTTGTTTTTTTATTACATTAAATTTTTTTAGAAGTTTTTATCGTCCTTTATAAAAAAAATTAAGTTAATAATGTACTGTCTATTCTCTCATTTTAATTTTTGTTACATTCTTTCTAGTTTTCTGTGCTCAGTTTAAATAGGAAATTCCATTTCTATAATAAATTAGAGGACGAGCCGTTTGTATATTTGGATTATTGGTAAGAGTGGAGCTCGGGATTGAGCAATGGACAAGAAGCTCCGAGTTGGAAGATCAGTCTGTGTGGAGGACAAAAGCCAGCTTCTTGTTAAGATAGCCATTCCTTTCAAGCGGCCGTCCTACCGTTTCAAAGCCACATCATACTGCTGACTGTCATCTCTTCATCAAACATTTAATCGCTAAACTTGATTTCTCCGCCAGCACCTTAGTGCTTCGATGTTATACTTACAACAAAGATCACCCTTTTAATCAACCCCAATTTTTTTGTCTTAAATAAAATCTAGTTTCTGTTTTCAACATTATGGGTTGTCTTTTTATACGTCTTTTACACAGAACCAGCAGCAACCATTCCCCTTGAAAAGCCACATGCAGTGCGAATGTGTAAATATAAACGTACTAATCTTTCTGGCGTGCGTATATATGCACACACAATCTTCTTCTTCTTAACTGTTAGATCGTTTAGCTATAAGGTGCTATAATGGAAGAAGTAGAGTTCCCATGTTGTGAAAGGACCTTCTGGCTTCTTCTTGTGGCCTTTCTGGGGCTCGTGTTATTGGCAGGCATTGCTTCAGGTCTGGCTCTGGGACTGTTATCGTTCTCCCAGGTTGATCTTGAGGTCCTTATTAAAGCTGGTAGCCCAAACGACAGAAAAAATGCAGGTTTCTGATGAAAACCACGTCACCACGCTCTGCATTGTTTGATTATTGTAAATCTGTTGTTGCTTTATTATCATTGGTTTATATTTGCAGCAAGGATTTCACCATTTGTAAAGAATGGCCACTTCGTCCTCTGTACTCTCCTTATTGGCAAATCACTTGCTGCAGAGGTATGATAATGTGTGCATGCATAACATCCTCCACATCGTTTTTATACTTCAAAAGTTATTAATGAATCTGAATCATAATTTGAAAGCCTAAAACCTGATAATGATATTTGTTCGTTGGACTTATGACTAAGAAGAGAATGACATTAATTTGATGTTTATAATGTAAGGCAATGCCAGTTGCTCTGGACAGAATACTTCCCTTCTGGCTTGCTATTCTAGCATCAGCTCCCCTCGTCACTGTCTTTGTGGAGGTAATTATGTTCATATATATTCTTTTTAACCTGGTTGTGAAAATCCAAAGAAATCAATCAAAAGAATTAGAATCAATCAATTCATTATGAGTTCGAATATTTAACTTGGTTACCATAATTTCTGTTGTTAGATTGTTCCCCAAGCTGTGGCAGCCCGTTATGGACTAACTTTAGGAGCAAAGATGGTTCCCTTTGTTCAGCTCCTTCTTGTCATCTTCTCTCCCATATCCTATCCTGCTAGTAAGGTAAGAATAAAATATATATTATTAGAAAATCCAAGAACATATATTTAATTATTATACGTTATATAGGTTATGGATTTTTTATACAAACTTAAGGGTTTTCAATCTTATCATGTCCAAGATCTTTTGGCTGTTCATTCTTACATATTTTAAGGGACTGAGGTGGCATTTGAATGTTTTAGACAATTGAGATCTCGGATAGAGTAAAACTGAAAACCCTTACGCTGTGTTTGACTCGATGGAGGGAAGGGAAGGGGAGGGATTTTAATCAAGAGAAGGGAAGGGGAGGGGAGGAAAGGGGAGGGTAGCTACAAAGGGGAGGGGAGGGAGGGAGGGAGGGGGAAGGAAGGGGAGGGATTTTAATGATCTCCTGTTTGGATTGATTGGAGGGGAGGAGAGGGAGCAATTTTAATAATACCTTATTTTGTTCTAATAAAAAATTGACTATTTTAGCCTCATAAAATTTAAATGAATTTTCTCACTTTTTTATTTTGTTAAGATATAACTATATATATAATACAATTCACCAATTTTGAGTTACAAGACATAGTCACACACTTATAGAATATCAAGATAAAAAGTTACGAGTGATAGATTTCAATCTAAGAAAAGACCTTGAAGGTGAAAGAAAATACCAACAACCTCTTGGAATTAGAAGAAGAGAAAAAAAAAAGTTTACAAATGCTCACTAATTTTGGAGACAATTATCTTAATAACCTCTTGTTGGATGCTCAAAAAAACTCTCTTATGTAGAAATGTTTACGACTGATTAGAGGTTAACAAATCAAAAGGGTATATAAGGAATAGAAATATTATCTCTCATCTCCCCTCCAAAAAACCCCACTTTTGGAGGGGAGGCTAGAAGGGAAGGGGAGGGGAGAAGAATCCCTCCCCTCTTTAAAAACCATCTTAACCAAACGAGGGAAGGGGAGGGGCTCCCCTCCCCTCCTAAAAAATTACACCGGCCAAACAAGGGGAGGGGAGCAACTCCCCTCCCCTCCCCTCCAAAAATCCTGTACCAAACATAGCGTTAAGCTGTATGTGGTAAACCTGAAGAAAACATTAAAGAAGACTAAAAAGGAGTACATGCCAACATGAGACTCCCAAAAGTTTTATTTTATAAAAACAAGTAGACAAACTGAAGCATAACCTCAACTATCTGAAAGGCAAGTGGCCTTTTATAAGAATTTTTTAGCAGATTCGATTCTCCGAAAAAGCATAACCTGAAGATCTTCCCGTTATGGCATGCAGCTTCTGGATTGGACTCTTGGGAAAGAGCACTCAGTTCTCCTAAGAAGATCAGAGCTTAAAACATTTGTGGACTTACATTCAAATAAGGTTTATTCACGTCCTTTCTCTGTTCTTTCTGAACTAAAATCCATGAAGTTTAAGAGCCACTGAACCTGCATGTGGCTAAATTATTAATATGCAGGCAGGGAAAGGAGGAGAACTATCTCATCATGAAACTTCAATAATCTCAGGTGCAATGGATTTGACTGAGAAGAAAGCAAAAGATGCAATGACCCTCCTCTCTGAAGTTTTTTCCCTTGACATAAACTCCAAATTGGACATGTAATATGTCATAATAGCTCAAGTTTCTACTGATATATATATGTTATTTTCCCCTTTTTCCTCCTGTCTTCCTTTATCGGTATAGTTCAACTTTATCTCCAGGCATACAATGACTCTAATAACTAGCAAAGGTCACAGTCGAATACCTATATACTCTGGAACTCCAAGAAACATCATTGGCCTCATATTGGTACGTACCTTTTAATGGAATGAAGTTGAATACGGTTTCTGCTTTAACTATTTGATATGCATAATTTGGATAGCTTAGTACCATTCATATATCCATACAAATTGCAGACTTATAACAGTTCTTAAACCTCAAATTTAGTCTTCGAGATTCAAATCCAATAATCATTAATTTCCTAGCATTTATTCATGCTTTGCAATTCTTTTTTTGCAGGTTAAGAATCTAGTTTTCTGCCGCCCAGAAGATGAGACCCCAATCAAGAATTTGATAATCAGGAAAATTCCTAGGTATGAGAAATTCTGTATGTCTCGTATTTTGATAATCCATATATCCCATCTGAGTTTCAACATCATGCCTAGCCATTAGATAATTTCTGCTGGTAGTTTTCATGCCCGCATTAATTAATCGTTATCACTATTCTTATTTCTCAAACTGTGTAATAACTAACTTCAGTATAAACTGGGCATAATCTTGTACAGGGTTTATGAAAACTGGCCGCTTTACGACATGCTGAATCAATTCCAGAAGGGTCACAGCCATATGGCCGTTGTGTTGAAGGAAAGCAAAAACGCTAAGAAAACTACAGCTCAGAATGCTAGCACCCCTACTTATTTTAACATGATTACAGATAAACTACCAAATGAAGTGCAGATCAATAAAGGTAGCATCATATGGCTTTTAAACTAGCATTTTATCAAAGCTATTATGTTTTCTTTGAGATTGTACCAATCTTTGGGCCAGGCCGGCATGGCTCAGATGGCTTTTAAATTAGCATTTTATCAAAGCTATTATGTTTTCTTTGAGATTGTACCAGTCTTTGGGCCAGGCCGGCATGGCTCAGATTGGATCATGTTGAAGGCAGCTTCATAAATGAGACTGATTTTAAGATTGTTTTTCTTGATTCTGTATGCAGAATATAACCCTTCCTTTAAATTGGAAGAGAATCGCAGTGCTTCCATTTATGAATCCACTTTGTCTTCTCGGGACACTAAATATCACAGTGCAACACTGCACAGTGTGATAGAACTAGACAATGAAATGCACCAGCAGTTGATGCAATCATGGGAACATGAAGGTAAATATGTTTCACAAGAAGAAATAGAGTCTTTTCCAACTGTCTTGGATGAGGAAGCAATTGGCATCATCACTATGGAAGATGTTATGGAGGAACTATTACAGGTTAGTTGTTCCTGTTATCAACACCCCAGTTTTTCTGCTAAAGGCTATAACTTGTTCCGATTTGATTCCTTAAATATTCGCCACATTGTACCTCTTAACGTGCCAATTGCTTACTTTTTCTATTTGTAAGGGAGACATACTGGATGAAACTGATGAATACATTCATGTCCAAAAGAAGTGAGTGGACAACCTAGCTACTATATATACAATTAACTTCCCAAGTGCATGCCTCTTTCTTTTTTTTACTAATGCAATGATAGCCATCTAATTTTCCCCATGTTTCCCTCTCATTTTCAGCATTAGGATTAACTTGAAGCCTTCACAAAGATCACGGTCATCATCAAGGAGAGGTTGAGCATAGAACCATTCTAGAAGTTCTAGCGATTTTTAATTCTATCCATATTTTTTCAGTAAATTGATATTGTCAAAAGCTTGTGTGCACGTGCATGCGTTTATTTGAACAGAAAGAATTTGTTTTTCAAATATATCAATAAAAGTTTAATATAGTATTATTTACAAGTTGTGTATCATTGAACTTAATATTTTTCTTTTGGATATCCAGTTGCTTTCCAGAAACCATACTAGGTCCACACTTGTTTTGTTTAGGTCAGTCAGACTATATGGGTATAAAACTCTTAAATATAATTTTTTCCAACAACTTTCAATGATGAAAGGTGAAATCGTTCTAATGTTTTCCAATATAGAGCTAGCTAGTTATAATTGAAAAGTAGTTATAAATAATCCAGTCCGAATACAAAATAAGTTTGATGGCATAAAACCGAAGAGAGTTTCCTGAGACATTTGAGAGTACTAGTCCTGTTCAAAATGCGAAGATGACTGAAGTGTTCTTAGTTTCTCAAAACCATATTTAACCAAATCAGTTGTGTTATCATTTTCATCCGAGTCAAAAGTTAAGGACATTCGCATGATTTCCTCTTTCAAGGCTATAAGAAGATTGTGATAAGAACAACCTTCGGGAGAAAAATTAATAACGCTCATACTAAATCTTACTAGCTAAAGGAAAGTTAAGGTCATCGTACAAAATAGACACATAATTGCCATCACATCAGTGGCAGAAAAGAGACATCAAGCAATTTTTACACGATTGATAGTAAAATTAAAACTTAGATGGCTTTGGTGTCTCTATCAACTTGAAATTGACATCAAAGTCCTCCGACATCTTATAGCAACTCGAGATTTTTGGAGACTTGCAGCGTGCTGGAGAGGCATGCTGAGTTGCTAAAGATGGCTCTTTGCTTGATAACTCCACTTCAGGCAATTTCTCAGGAACCTCTTCCAACTCCAAGCATTGCAGATCACTCTTGGGCTATAAGTGAATGAGCAATATTTAATCAGAAAAACCGAAAAAGCAAAACTCAGCAGAAGCAGGAGAAGTTACACGCCAACCTTGAGTTTAGTAAATGCTTGAACTTCAGAAGAAAACGCCAACTTCTCATCTGAATCTGTTCAAAATACATATATCTGAGAATGAGTAACTCAAGTCCCAAACAAAAACAATAAACAACAAAAAATATAAACTTCTCATAGTGATTTTAAGAAACACTTTCAGGAGGCGAAGCTTTCTCACACCATAAGATCTATGGTATGATTCTCACTCTATTTTATTATGTGAGAATCTCAAGTTGTACCAAAATGTTTCAGAAAAAAATCTCTTAAAAGCAAAAAGAGCTTTGGGAACAAATAACTTCAATTACCACTTTCAAGACCAAGACTCTTTAACAAATTGTGCAAACCCATATCTTCAGTTTGTGATTTGATACACTCTTGATGATTGTGCAGGCATTGTTCTTCAGCAATTGCATTGAGACGAAGATGTTCCTCTGCCAAGGCACTTGGCTTCTGGCTACTTTTATTTTTAATCTTCCCAACGTTGGAAATGTCAGAAAGTGCTTTCCTGTTACCACTGGGTAACTTCCCTGAAGCTTTGGGAGCAGATCTTTTACTCTCAAGTTTTTTTATCTTGACAGGAACAACTTCTTCTTTCATAGTAGCAAGCTCCTTAGACTTCAGTTGTTTGCCTGAGTTTAATGCATCCAGTGCCTTCCTTCCACCTCCTTGAGTAGAAAGCTTCTCTGAGTTAGATAAATCACCGAGTGGTTTTCTCCCACCAGCCCCTACCTTCCTCTGTCCTGTATAATTTGCCTTGGCACAAATAGTTGCTCCTGAGAGTGTTAGAAAAATTAGTCTTAGAATGACTAAAAATAAAAAATCAATTTAGTGTCAACAAAACTAAATTAGTAATTACAATACCATCCATCTGGATACCAAGATTCGGATCTTGAAGCAAACGACCAGTTCGTGCTGCCATTTGTACTTGTCTCGCAATTTCTGAATTAAGTTCCTGGAATTGGAAGAAAATTTGGTAAATAAACAAATATGAGATATCAAATGGCTCTAGGAACTTAAAAAGGGAAAATTGCCCCAAAAAGTAATTTCTTTGAACATAAGAAGTCCACAACCCCTGCATACTATTTTTCATATAAAAACTCTAACTTCCGTTATCTATCATCAAAAAATCAAAGGGAAAAAAGGTTCACATGATATCCAAAGATAGCTAGAGGGAAAAAAAAGGACTTTAAGGAAACATGTAGAACAACTTCCAACCAACAGACAAGAATTTTTTATGCTTCGACTTGTGCAAATTTCCCGTGCATCAAAGGCCTCAAGGGTTAACATAGATCCCCTCACAAGAAAAGAAGACAAGGAAAATCCTTTCAATAATGAACCTATGACAATAGGGGGAAAACAGAGAGCGCTTTCATAAAATCAATTAGATCTAGTCGCGCCTTCAGCCAATTCTTCGCTAGAAAATACGGTCAGGCTTTCAGTCCTCCAGTCGAAACCACGAAACCCTAACACTCAACCTCAATCCAATCATTATCATACCAGACAAGTTAAGAACGGTTTCAAAGGAAAAAGAAAAGGCAAGAATAAGAAGAAAAACATTAACAGATAAGGTTGTAACCTGCAGGAGAAAATATTTTCTCAGCTTTCTCGTTCGTTCGACTTTCTCACACTTGCTCTGAGATTCTTGATTAAGACGTTGGTGTTTCAAACTTTAAGCCGATTTGCCGGGCGCGTTTCTTTTGTACTAACACAAGAGGCGGTGTTCTTCAACGGTAACCTCTGCCCTTTTATCACTCAACTGCTTTCTTATGCGAGAGGGGCAGGGTCTCCAACGGCAACTTTTTGCCCTTTTATATGGGTTGGCTTCTCAATTTTCCTTTCTTTATATGAGGCCTTTCAATTTGGTACCTATGTGTTTTTAAATCTTTATCTCTATTAACAATTAATCCTTATTAGAGACAAATATCAATAACAAAGTTATATAATGTTGCTAAAAATAAAATTAAATAAAGAGAAAAAAACACATAGGTCAAATTAAAATTAAAATATATACCTTTAATATGCCTCTTAAATTTCAAAAAAAAACATCAAATTAAATTAAAATAACTTGCCTCTTAAATTAAAAAAATTTAATAACATAATCGGCTTAAAGTTAGCACTTGTGTACTAACTTTTTTCGTATCAAAATTTGATTGTAGATCCCTCAAATTTTAATTTTATACTATGCTACTCTTCTTAGTTTTTTTTAATCTGGAACTTTGCTATTTTATCTAATAAGATATATCTAATGCAACATGTTACCTCTCGTCGCCAAAAAAAAATAAAAAGTGATATATATCGCATATAAAATGTTTAGACAGGCTAACTGCATAACTTGATTAGTGAAGTAAATACTGAAATTAACTTAGAAATTAGTTATGATTATGATGTAATGTGAACAAACTGCTCACAAGTTACAAGCATGAAAATTCTCTTATAAGTAAGTAAAAGATCGTAAATTTAATGCCATTTATAATCTCATTCTATAAACGCCTATCTCTTTTGCTCACAAAAACAAACGCCTACCTCTTTAATTCAAAAAAAAATTACTATAACTTTGCAAATCCTTTTCTAATCAACAAAAGTTCCAATTAACACGAGCGATGACACATATAAAGCCATGTTTGGGTCATGGGGATCTGAAATATAACCAATTTTTATTTTTATGCAGTAGCTCTCCTTCGAAATTAACCCAACAAAAACTTGGGGGGAAACTGCTGCTGTTCATTCTCCTGCAGACACCTAACACAGACACTGTTCAGATGGGGAGAACTCATGGATCTGGCATCATCTTCATAGGTAAAGGCTAAATTGATGAAATATCACTTCAATAGTTCGAATAATAATTCTTTCAACATCAACTTTTCAAAATTCATGACGAAGGTGTGTCCTCTTTTCTTTTTATATCGCCAAAATATTACTTCCGATTCTAATTATAAAATCTCATTCATAATGATCAGACACCCATATTCCAAGACCATACAATCCTGTTACATGAAATGCATCAAAACCAAAACAAGTCACTGCTGAAAGAAATAAATGAATTCCAAAAATTTTAGGTAAATCCAAAGACCGAAAGTACTATCAAACTAAAAGCTGAA